TAAGTGGCAGGTTGGCATGCTTGTTGGCCCAAGCTAGCTCGACGGCCAAATGGGGGGGTTGTTTGCCACTTCTCTACCTTCAGCTACAACAAACAAAAATTTTCTGTCATGCCAATGTAAAACGAAAGAGAAAAAGAAAGAAATGGAAGCCTGTCCGGGTCAGTTGGAACCATCCCACCCCTTCTAAGTGCCGACGGCATTTAGCCTTGAGTTCCGCCGGGGCTCCTAGTTCATCATGCGAAACTCCCTTTACCTGACCTAGTCCGTCAGTCAAACGTTTGTCACCTGTTAAATCGTCATGTCACCTGTAATATACCCACGTCCCCTCCGTGTTGCGCCTAAGCAGCACCCACACCAACCTAATAATTCCTAGCATTCCATCTTAAATAATAATGCTATGTTCAACTGAATTTCATTGTAATACAAATTCATTTATTAAATTAAATCAAAACAAAACCGAACACATACAATTCCTCTTATACTATTTCTTTACTTCTACTACTAACTGAATCTAAATTTTATGATTATTATTATTATAGGTATATATATATATATATTTTTTTCCTTTTTTTTCTTTGCCTAATTATCTACTTCTATTAACAATATCTTAATTATTCCCTTACTCACAAATATCTATCTTTCTTTTGTATGTCTTGTATTTTTTTCCGCGCTTTCCACTGTAATTCTTAAAGTTTTTATTTTGTAATAGTTTTTTTTTGTATCTAACTATTAAAATCTCAAAAATATGCGTATACATATGCACATATATGCTTAACAAGCGCAAACATGTATTCATGTGCCTTTGTTACCTCACATAAATATATGTATGTATATATATATGTATATGCACGTTTTATATTACTTTTTTTCTACCGTCGGTGACCCTTCCTAATGCTACTGAGTATGTATGTACATATATATGCAAATGTTAAAAACAATAGTGACTTCTCACTTACCAATTAAAATTGAATTACGATTAGTGGGTACGTATGCCACCTGTTTTGCTCTCCTTTTCAGTTCGGCCCTTTAATCCGTCGCGAAAACAAACTAAGTGTCGTTTGAACGTATGTATGTATGTATACCGGCGCGTGTGACAAAAAAATAAAAACAAAATACAATTCTATCAATTAATAAACTAAAATAAACCAGGTGTGCTGCTGGAACGCTGTTTATTAGTGATGCTGGCGTTTTTAGTGCGACGTCGATATTACTGCTGTAGCGTATGAGCGGGTGAGGTTGATTTATCCTCCGTGATGTGGTGTTGTTGTGTGATCTGCGACTTTGCTTAGGCCGGTACTGTGTGTATGCAGCAGTCTATATGCATGTGATACTGGAACGGCGATGAGTTTGGCCCTTATGCTATGGTTTTGCCTGATGTTGCTGAGTCGGTGGTGCTTGTTAGCCGGGTGGCTGTTACAAGCTTGGATTACGCCGGTGAAGCACTTAGTGTTGCCGAGAATTTTCTTATAATTTTTGTTAGCGCGGCCCGGATATACATTTAACCACTGTATCACTGTATTCGGTAAATTTCTCTTAAGGTTTTGGTTTTACCTTTCTTTTTGCACCAAATAACTTTAAATTTTACTTAAAACTTTTTGTGATGTAACGACGGGTGAAAATAGTTCGCGCTCGGGAAATTCTGACTTTCAGCACTGACTTTCTCCAAAAGAATCTCGATTAAGGCTTCAGCTCGCTATTTAAGCATTTTCGACCTCTGTTTTGGTTACGGTGATTCTGCGGTTATCCTTTTGTTTACAAGCAGACACATATACACAAGCTCAGGTCATCCAATAGCAAGATCGCAGATCACGACATCGAACAAGTTGTATCGCACCCGCTATTTTGACTTTGGACTTTACGTCTTCATGGTAGCCAGTGGAAAGTTTTTATTTTGTTTACTTATACTGCTTCTACTGTTATCACCAGGGCGAATTTAACCGTATGAGGTGGTTCGAAAAGGGTTGCTTCTTTGATTTAGAATATGCATGCATAGATATACACATGTTCATGCATATATCCACATATATGTATGTATATATATATATATATGCATATATATTCATATTAAATCGGCTGTCGTTACAGGCTCGCAACCGTCGATGTTGCTCGCAATATGGAGCGTGTGCGTAAAAAGATTCATAACGCAGCCGTGTGCACCCCATGTTAAACGATGGCCCAATGTGTGGCCTCGACCCACGCTTATATGCCGGGCTTGGTTGTCTAACGAGTCACTACCTATATCTCCTTATGCTGATCCTGCCCTAATACCCTACAATAGCCTAGCACTGGGTTCACTACCTAACAATTTTCAAGTAACTTGCTGTACTTGCTAATACCATACACCAAATCCCAACAGCCCCAACAATATTTATTGGTCTTCAGCAAGAGCTAGGTAAGTATATACCTATTTACAAAAAAAAGCTCCATGCAGACACTGGACTCCACTACATTTTGGTACTTTCACAAACAAACAAACACCAACAAAACAAAATAGAACGGAACACACTTATGCAACAAATAGGTCTTTAGCGTGGTATACGCCGATCTTTCTCCCAGTAGTGTCACCTATTTCATACATTGAGTTGCCGATAACTCCCAAAACTACGCATTTAACTTGTTTCGGCGCGAGTTTGGCNATTTCGTACATTGAGTTGCCGATAACTCCCAAAACTACGCATTTAACTTGTTTGTGAACTATTTGTGAACTCTGTTTGAAATTCCGGCGATACCCCACTTGTCCAATTTGGAACCTCACTTCTCTGCTCCTCGTGTTGTAAACTTTTGAGCTCCTGTCATGCGCAATCTTCAATTCCTTGAGGATTTTTTCTCTGATTAGCTGCATTTTGTCGGAACCAGTAAGTACTTCACACTCAGTGTTTTTTATTGATTCTAGTTTGCGGAGTATGGCGTATGATGCGCCATGTTGCACCATCGGCAGCCCGAATATGGCATAGTAGGGCGATTGTCCAATCGCGGTACTACACGGTGTGGACTGAGCGAACGCGGCATCACTCACGTACCTGTCCCAGTTTTTCTAGTTGCCTTGGATATACGAACGCACTATCTGGAGTACTGAACGGTTAACCCGTTCGGCTGCATTGCCTTGTGGCGAGTAGAACGCACTCTTTACATGTTTAACTCCGTATTTATCTAAAAACGAGGTGAATAACTCGGAAACAAATGTCTGTCATTGTCAGAGTGTACGACCTCTGGTATGGCGAAAACATGGAAAACGTCCTTTTCTAGATATTTTACAACTTCTGCTGCTGTCGCTTTACGCATTGGTTCAAGGAACACAAATTTAGAGAAATGATCGAGACAGACGAACACATAAGAATTACCATCACTAGAACGCGGGTAAGGCCCCATAAAATCTATCTGCAACGACAGCCGATTTAATATGAATATATATGCATATATATATATATACATACATATATGTGGATATATGCAGGAACATGTGTACATCTATGCATGCATATTCTAAATCAAAGAAGCAACCCTTTTCGAACCACCTCATACGGTTAATTTCGCAGTGGTGATAACAGTAGAAGCAGTATAAGTAAACAAAATAAAAACTTTCCACTGGCTACCATGAAGACGTGAAGTCCAAAGTCAAAATAGCGGGTGCGATACAACTTGTTCGATGTCGTGATCTGAGATCTTGCTATTGGCTGGCCTGATATGTATATGTGTCTGCTTGTAAACAAAAGGATAACCGCAGAATCACCGTAACCAAAACAAAGGTCGAAAATGCTTAAATAGCGGGCTGAAGCCTTAATCGAGATTCTTTTGGAGAAAGTCAGTGCTGAAAGTCAGAATTGCCCGAGCGCGAATTATTTTCACCCGTCGTTACATCACAAAAAGTTTTAAGTAAAATTTAAAGTTATTTGGTGCAAAAAGAAAGGTAAAACCAAAACCTTAAGAGAAATTTACCGAATACAGTGATACAGTGGTTAAATGTATATCCGGGCCGCGCTAACAAAAATTATAAGAAAATTCTCGGCAACACTAAGTGCCCCACCGGCGTAATCCACGCTTGTAACAGCCACCCGGCTAACAAGCACAACCGACTCAGCAACATCAGGCAAAACCATAGCATAAAGGCCAAACTCATCGCCGTTCCAGTATCACATGCATATAGACGGCTGCATATACACAGTACCGGCCTAAGCAAAGTCGCAGATCACACAACAACACCACATCACGGAGGATAAATCAACCTCACCCGCTCATACGCTACAGCTACGCTACTAAAAAACGCCAGCATCACTAATAAACAGCGTTCCAGCAGCACACCTGGTTTATTTTAGTTTATTAATTGATAGAATTATTATTTGCACGTCTTTGGTTATTTGCGTATCGCATTTTGCCAATTACCATTTTTTTTTAATTATGTTAGTTTGCTATTTCATCACCTTTTTTTCGAGTTTAGTTGTTCTAAGCTTAGTTTTATTTTCACCATATCATTTACATTGCGTTTATTTTTGATTTTTGACATTCAGCCTAAATTCATCACGCTCTTTTTTTTATTCTGTACTCGCGTTACACCTTAGTTCTTATTTGCCAAATAATTGCAGTTTCCTATTATTACTAATAATAATTTATTAGTAACATTAATCCGATCGCTTATTTTGCCTTTCACGCTCATTTCTTGTTATTAATAACGATAAGTTATAGGTATAATTTTTTTTTGGTTTATTAATTTCTTTTGTATTTTATTTTTACTTTTTTGTCACACGCGCCGGTATACATACATACATACGTTCAAACGACACTTAGTTTGTTTTCGCGATGGATTAAAGGGCCGAACTAATCGTGATCCACTATACCACCTGTTTCTGTTTGTTTGGTTACTCTCCTTTCCAGTAGTTATATGTACATATGAATGCTTTGTTTTTCTCCCCCAACACTTCCCAGGTAGTCAGCATGCTGGCGCTAGCATCGGTGGACATACAACATACACACATACTGGTAAGTGAGAAGTCACTATTGTTTTTAACATTTGCATATATATGTACATACATACTCAGTAGCATTAGGAAGGGTCACCGAAGGTAGAAAAAAAGTAACATAAAACGTGCATATACATATATACATACATACATATATTTATGTGAGGTAACAAAGGCACATGAATACATGTTTGCGCTTGTTAAGCATATATGTGCATATGTATATGCATATTTTTGAGATTTTAATAGTTAGATACAAAAAAAACTATTGCAAAATAAAAACTTTAAGAATTACAGTGGAAAGCGCGGAAAAAATACAAGAAATACAAAAGAAAGATAGATATTTGTGAGTAAGGGAATAATTAAGATATTGTTAATAGAAGTAGATAATTAGGCAAAGAAAAAAAAAATATATATATATACCTATAATAATAATAATCATAAAATTTGGATTCAGTTAGTAGTAGAAGTAAAGAAATAGTATAAGAGGAATTTTATGTGTTAGGTTTTGTTTTGATTTAATTTAATAAATGAATTTGTATTACAATGAAATTCAGTTGAACATAGCATTATTATTTAAGATGGAATGCTAGGAATTTTTAGGTTGGTGTGGGTGCTGCTTAGGCGCAACACGGAGGGGACGTGGGTATATTACAGGTGACATGACGATTTAACAGGTGACAAACGTTTGACTAACGGACTAGGTCAGGTAAAGGGAGTTTCGCATGATGAACCAGGAGCCCCGGCGGAACTCAAGGCTAAATGCCGTCGGCACTTAGAAGGGGTGGGATGGCTCCAACTGACCCGGACAGGCTTCCGTTTCTTTCTTTATCTCCTTCGTTTTAGATTGGCATGACAGAAAATTTTTGTTTGTTGTAGCTGAAGGTAGAGAAGTGGCAAACAACCCCCCCCCCAACCCATTTGGCCGTCGAGCTAGCCTGGGCCAACAAGGATGCCAACCTGCCACTTACCTCTGCCCGAACAGCCAGCTAGACAACAATGGCGCCCAACGACATAGACCAGCCTTTTGTTTGTTTTACGTAATTTTTCTATTTTTGTTATTTCTCTGATTTTATTATATCTTTTCTTTTCGGACAGTTCAGGTTTTCTCTCGGCATCTCAGCTAAAGTTTTTTTTGCTTGGTTGACTGTGCTAGGCGAAAGATGTAAAGGGGGGAACACAAGTCTTTCTATTGGAGTACCTGTGATGGATTTTAAATCTGAGCAGTGACATTCAAAAGTAAGAACTGTGTAGTCTTCGTATTGAATAGGTTCAAGCTACCGAGCATATGGTTCGAAATCGTAAGTTCGTGAGGCTTATCGAAAACTTTCAGGGGAGATCTATCACATCAGATGAGTAGCAGCCAGACTTTAGGTGAGTGCCTGCAGTTTGCAAGTGCTACACCATTTGATGTGATCCTAGTTGACATTGACAAGGGACAGTATACGTACGTACGAGAAATACCCACTACGACCTCTGCCTACGGCAGCACCACTCACACACCAACTTATGTCCATACATTTTCTAAAAAGTAAATACGCGTTTTTTTTTGCTTTGATAACAAATAAAAAAAAATATATCAAAAAAAATAAAAATAAAAAATAAATAAATTATTTTATTACTTTTATAATACAACTATTTTTGCGTTCTAGTTTTTTTTTGAGATTTTTGCTCTGAACAAGCTATTTACATTTTCTTTGAATTTTTACATTGCCATTATTTTTATTATTATTCATATTTTTATTTAATTTTTTTATTGTAGTTTATTTTATTATTTTTTTTAATTATTATTTTTTTTTCTCATTTATATTTTTATTTTTTTTTTATAATTTGCGAAAAAGGGGGAAAATGCCCACATTTTATTTTTAAATCCCAATAGAGGCAGTTTTCGTTTTGAATTCAGATATTTCCTTATTTTGATATTTTGAGTTTTACGGTTCACAGTTTGTTTTCTTTGGTTCCCACGAGTTTTTTTTACACTACACGCGGGATTTATTGATTGGCTCAGGCCAGGTGAATGGGGGAAGAAGAGCGTGAGGAAAAACAGTGTCCAGGGTTAGACATTTTCAGTAACAGAAGGGTGACAAGGAGTGTAGCCAGGGCGTTGGAGAACGAGGGTGTTGGGTCGATTTTTACACAGATTGACACAGGCATTCCATATCCGGTTGACTTTGTTCCCACCGACTTTTTGAACAGGTGCACCGCGCGCCTCTTTAGCTCGACCGATAACGCACCCCACTCAAGTGTAACCGTCACCAATGATATCCACATAAGTACAAGAGACCGGAGTTTGACTTTCGCGGAGAAACTCGACAGGAGATAGTCAGCATTTAAGGCAGAGCTGAATTATGGAGCAAGACAATCTGCAACTGCCCCAGGGTGCTGCATCTTCGAAGGCGAATGGTGGTGGGTCAAGCTCTGCATTGAATAACATGGAGCAAATGATGGCGCTGATGGCCCAACTAAATAGTATGATGGCTCAATGCATGAGCGAGGTCCGCAACATGTGCAATGCTGTCTCGCAGCTCAGCAACCGTGTGGCAGATGTGGAGTCATCTGCGCAGGCAGCCATTAACCCACCCGCTATGGCATCAACTCCTGAGGCAGGAGCTCAGCGAGGGGATGGTGGATACCAGCGCAGAGAGGCGGAACCTCGTGAGGAGCAGGGGTAGGGCAGAAGAAGCCACCAGGTGGAAGAAGGTTGACCTGGACAAGTGGCACGTCAAGTTTGATGGTACCGGGAAGAACATCACTGTAGAAAGTTTTATTTTCAGAGTTGAAAGGATGCGAGCGCAACATGATGTCCCGTATGAACAGCTGTTTTCTTACTTCCATTGCTTGGTCACGGGCAATGCACTTAAATGGTATTGGCAAATTGTCGAAGTCCGCGCTGAGGACCAGAACTTTGGCTACTTCGAGCTGAAAGCCGAACTATTGAGCCATTATAAAACTGCAGAGTCGGACTACGAAATAATACGGGAGATCATGGAGCGCAAGCAAATGCCACATGAGACATTCGACGACTTCTACAGTGATGTCCACAACTTGAAGTTCCGCTTGCGCCAGAAAATACCTGAAAGGGAACTAGTGGGCATCCTCAAGGCCAACTTAAAGCCATACCTGGCAAGCCTGACTTTCTCCTCGAAAATGGACACCTTGGCGGATCTGAAATCCGTGTGCAAGTGAGCTGAGAGAATGTTCCGCGAAAGTCGAACAAGGTCCGGAGGCGTTAGCGAGTTACAGCATGTGTGTGATGACGAGCGAGTGGAGGTAGAAGCAATCAACGCAAATAGCTTCGAGCGCAGTAAGACGGGTGTACAAGGCGGTCAGGGAATTTCGAAAGTCAATCGGATGCAACCAAGTCGACCTCAGCCGGTCCCCAGCAGCAGTTCTTCCGGTGTGCAGGCAGCTCCAGGTCACAGCTTCTGTTCGTCGCCTTTCCACCTGATGATTTGTTTTAAGTGTGGCATGCCGTTCGACTACTACACGAAGAATCCTGGCGTGACTAACAACTGCAACTCTACGTTTCACAGCATGGTTTGTTTCGCGTGCGGGGGCGACATGTCATTCTGTGTCTACAAGCCGAACCAGGGAAACTGGCGGAAATTTCCGGGAATTCTGCCCAGGAAGCGAATCGCCCGGAAAAATAAAATCAGCCGTCAATATATTAAGTAGGGATAGTAGTATTAGCAGTGGTGTTGGTAATATTAGAAGTAAGTTAGAGGATAGAGAAGTAGTTATAGGAAAGAGTTTACATCAAAGGAAATTAGAATATGAAGAAGCAAGAAGAAGGATTTTTTCAGAAGAAATAGTTAAGAATAAGAAAAGTAGGAATTTTAAGAAAATTTAAAAAATGAGGGAAAGCGGAAAAATTATAAAAGGATTAGAAATAAGATTATAGCAACAATAGTCACTGTGAAGGGTGACAATCGTTTTTTTGCACAAACCAATATAGGTGGCAAGGAGATGTTAGCTCTGTTGGATTCTGGTGCTGGCGCGAGTTGTCTAGGTAAAAACTCCCTAAAATATTCGAACCGCCAAAGGTGGCGAAACGCCAGTACTAGGTGGGATTGTTTTGCCGGTGTTATGGGATGGGGTCTCGAGAGATCTCGAGTTTTTGATCATGCCCGATTTGCAGCAGGAGGTTTACCTAGGAATCGACTTTTGGAGAGCTTTCGATTTGGATGTTGTCAGTAGGGGTGTTAAAGCAAAGAGCGCGGTGGTTGCAGAGCTCGCACCCGCCGAGGGTGACTTGTCATTTGACGCGGTGCAGCATGATTTAACGCATGAGGAGAGCGTAGCATTGGAAAAGATAAAAGCGCAGTTCCCATCGTTCGCCGTACTAGGGCTTGGAAAAACAGACCAAGAAGAGCACGTCATTGAAGTGACGAATGAAAATCTTCCGGTCAAACAGCGGCACTACCCTATATCACCACCAATCCAAAAGCTAGTGTATCAGGAGCTAGATAGAATATTGAGTATGGGGGTCATAGAAGAAAGCAACAGTAGTTGGAGTTCCCCCGTCTCTCTGGTAATAAAAGGCACTAAGAATAGATTATGTTTAGATGCTAGGAAAGTAAACGAAAGGACAATTAAGGACGCATATCCACTACCGCACGTGGAAGGAATCCTCAGCCGACTACAGAACACACGCTTTATATCGGCTATAGATTTAAAAGATGCGTTTTGGCAGATTCCATTAGAGAAGAAGTCTAGGGAAAAGACAGCCTTCACAGTTCCTGGTAGGCCCCTGTATCATTTCACGGTTATGCCTTTTGGTTTGTGTAACGCGGCTCAGCGTATGTGTAGATTAATGGACAAAGTCATACCGGCTGCTTTACGTGAGAGTGTTTTTGTGTATTTAGACGATTTGTTAGTTTGTTCCGAAAGTTTTTCGTCTCATTTAGTTTTGTTGGAAATGTCGCTAGGTGTTTACGTGAAGCCAAGCTCACAATCAATGTTGAGAAAAGNAGTGTTTTTGTGTATTTAGACGATTTGTTAGTTTGTTCCGAAAGTTTTTCGTCTCATTTGTGTTTGTTGGAAAAGGTCGCTAGGTGTTTACGTGAAGCCAAGCTCACAATCAATGTTGAGAAAAGTAAGTTTTGTTATCGGGAAGTAAGGTATCTCGGGTACGTGGTAGGCGATGGTTGCATACGAACTGATGCAAACAAAGTAGCAGCAGTAAGAGACTTCCCTGAGCCTCGAAGTCCGAAACAGCTTCGGCGGTTCCTAGGGATGACAGGGTGGTACCGACGTTTCATTCACGAATACGCAACTATAGCCGCACCATTACACGACTGTCTTACCAAGGACCGGATAAAAAAATTCACTATGACTGACGAAGCCAAGGTAGCGTTTCAGCGGTTGAAGCAAAGCTTGATCACTGCACCAGTACTGACTCACCCGGACTTTAACCGACGATTTTTCATTCAGTGCGACGCATCAACAGACGGTGTAGGTGGAGTTTTGTTCCAATTAGACGATGACAAGAACGAAAGACCGATTGCATTCATGTCGGCGAAGTTGAACAAAGCGCAGAAAAACTACAGTATAACGGAGTTGGAATTCTATGCCGCAGTCTTAAGTGTTGAGCGATTTAGATCGTACATCGAAGGACTGCCGTTCACTATAATCACCGACGGTAGAAAAAAAAAGTAATATAAAACGTGCATATACATATATACATACATACATATATTTATGTGAGGTAACAAAGGCACATGAATACATGTTTGCGCTTGTTAAGCATATATGTGCATATGTATACGCATATTTTTGAGATTTGAATAGTTAAATACAACAAAAAAACGATTAAAAAATAAAAACTTTAAGAATTGCAGTGGAAAGCGCGAAAAAAATACAAGAAATACAAAAGAAAGACAGATATTTGTGAGTAAGGGAATAATTAAGGTATTGTTAATAGAAGTAGATAATTAGGCAAAGAAAAAAAAGGAAGAAAAAAAATATATATATATACCTATAATAATAATAATCATAAAATTTGGATTCAGTTAGTAGTAGAAGTAAAGAAATAGTATAAGAGGAATTTTATGTGTTAGGTTTTGTTTTGATGTAATTTAATAAATGAAGTTGTATTACAATGAAATTCAGTTGAACATAGC